ATGGGCCGTCAGCTTGTTTGCCTTTCTTAGTTGCATAAAAAAAAACTCCTATCATGATGCCAGTATTAATGGGTGATGGTAGTCGTTTTCCATCAATTGGATTATCAGCTCGTTTACTTTCCTAATAATAATAAAAAAAAAGTTAACGCAATTTTTCTTATCATCTTATAATAATTTTGTATATCAAGTAATGAGTATAAAAATACTAAATTCTATTCAATAAATCGCAATCTGAAAATTATTAATTAATTATTAATTATTTATTAAATTTCTTTAGTATTTATCAATTCAATAAATCAACCACTTGTCTCATCGAAGGTAGTGCAGGCAATTCGCCGCTCGAGTCCGTAACTAGTAATAAACCGGTAAGACGTAAAAGTAGTTATGATAGTTATAAAATATAAGGCGAAAAGCGAGGGCGTCTGTGATAAGCAAAAGCTACTGGCTCTGTAATGGGACAGTTAACCCTTGCATTACAGAGAATCTTCATCTAGTAGTTGCTATAGTTATTACTAGCTTTTACGCGAGTCTTCGTCCGCATGACTGGGATATGTTGATTCATTGGGATAAATACGAGTGGTAAATCACCTATGTCCTTCTTATTTTTTTTTTATTTTTTTTTCTTTTCCATATAGTACAAGTATATCAAATTTCATAGTTATTGATGAAGTCGTTAAAGTATCAAGAGGTAACAAACAAACAAACTCACTTTTACATTTATAGTATTAGTAAGAATTAGTTGCAATTGAGTTTTATATGCCTTACCAATTACCATTGTATTACTTATAATACTTTTAGAATTAAAAGTAAAGGAAAAACATTGTAGATTACATATTCAATATTATGTATTGTATGTAACCCTGTGTAAGTATTATTTTTAATGTGTAACTATTTATTACTCCAAATAAATAAGAAGTTATTTATATAGTGAAACTGAACATTTTTTCTTAGAAAATATTAGTCGAAAATTGACAATAAATATAACCAGAACGGGTAGCTTATATTTTTTGGCATTTTTGTACTCATATGTACATTTATATGAAGTTGATTGCTTGGGTAGCTCTGTCTCATTCGTGTTTCAACCGTAAAGCAGTTTTGTTTGCATGGCTGTGTTTCGGTTTGAAGGGTGGGATTTGGCGTGAATTTACTGGGTACGGAGGAATAACACCTGAGTCCTCAGGAATGGTAACGCATAGGGGGTATCATGGACGAAACAGTATACTCTGTTATGTCCATGGTACTGTCCAACGGTAATGTCTTTAAATCGGTGGACCGTCATATTGGCGACGGTTCTAAGTTGTATAAAAAAAAATCAAGTGGCCCGTCAAGTCTAATTTGAAATAAGTTGTTTGCAATTCATTACAATTTGACTTGTAGTTTCATATAGAGTAAAAATACTTTTTTGTTTATCTGATCAAACAATGTAGGTCAGCTTGTTTTCATTTATTTATATTTTAATTTCATTAGAAATCTGAAATTGTAAATAGTATCAAGGGTGTGAAGTTTTAATACGTAATCTACATACAAGAATATATTTCAAAATAGTTTTAGAATATAATTATTAACTTAAATTTAACAGTAAACCACCGTCATGGCGCGTGGTTTTGTAACAACAATAGATATTGTAGTAAGTACCAAACGTGTTCCATGTATTGCTTCTCTAGTTAGTCGAATTATTAACTTATACAAGTTCTTGCCTATTATTACCTCATTATCGCCTTTAAATGGAGCTGTTAAGCGACTGTTGCTGACTCAATTCGGCTTATGTGAAGTTTAATGGTTGATCCTCTAGTAAGATAAGTACTTATGTGAATACTTCCTTGGAAGTTGCCGAGTATTATTGTCTTAACGGTATTATCGAAGTTAGAAATATACGTTCTTAGTGTTATAGTAAGATTAGGTTATTCGATTTGTATAAATATTATTATTTGTATAAATATAATTACGAGTATAATTGCTTCTGTTTATTTATTATTTTTATATAAATAAGTATATTCGATATGACTATCCTTGTGTCATTTAATTATAAATGTAATAACTTTAACTTTTTTAAAGATTTTTACAATTCATTAAGCGTTCGGAAAAGAGAAAAATAAAATCACGAGATCTCATTAAATGGTTCCTCGTTAAAGAGATATTTTAAAGGTGAAGTCGTGTGTGCTGTTGATAATGGCATAGGTACGTAAACTGTGTCATAAAATCGACCAACCCATTCAGGACGTTTTATCCCTCACAGTGATTGGGGTAATTCCATAACCTGCCGTATCTTTCGGGGACGTGAGAGAATTCTTAAAAGAATTTAATTTTAAACCCTTGTTAATATTAAATGTATAAAATTGAATTATTTTTTTGTTAATTCTTGCCACCTCTTGCCAGCTCAGCCAATTGTCATAGAAAAGGACATTGGGTAATTTTTTCGCCATTATGTCCTTGAAGTCTTGAATGTGATGGCAGGTTATAGTTTATATCTATAGTTTATATATTATAGTTTATAAACTATACACACACACATATGTATATATGTGTGTGTATAGTTTTATCTCGCTTTTGACCTTCATTAAGTAATGCACTTAAAGACAGAAAAATGTGATATAGGAATTACCAAGTTTATGCTTATTTTATGACACATAACAGATATTAGATATGAGAACTATTATATTTATAAATAAAGACAATTATATGAATCGAACACATGATATGAGACAGGTAGGTATCTGAGAAATACGCCATCATTGAATTAATGCGGTAATAGTGGCATTGCACTTTTGTAGTAATAATATAATTACATATTTGCACAAGAGCAAAATTTTTGAGTTCTAGAAGATATAAAACGAAGATTATATATAAGTATCTGACTAGACCTTTATGGAAGACTGGAAGAATTCTTAGATTCAGAAGTCTAAGAATTTTAATTTTGTTATATAAAATTAAGTTTTTAATAAATTAATAAAATATAACAGCATTGATGTATTGTAGAACAACCCATCACTAGAGTCGTAACCATATAATTTATTCTTATGGCAGAGCAATGATCTGTGTTGCAGGGAGCTAGTGGATGAAGATTCTATCAATTAGACATTCCCCAGCTATTAATATTTTGAAGTTATTAGCTAGTAAGAGTCTCTCAGTGCCCACTCACCTCCTCCGAGGTAGGTGGGTTTCCATGAGGAATTCTCTTCAAGCAAAAAATAAAAAAAATGTTTATTCGACCAATATTTCTTACAAAAAGCTGTGAACAATTAGCAAAAATAAACCAGACTGAAAAGAAAATACACCTATCACGATTTTGCAATAAAATACATCTTGGAATTGCAAAGGGGATTTGTTCAGAATAAGCGTAAAGTGCCGAAGTCGGTTTCGCTGGGTCAGCTATTCTAAACTTGGCGTTCTCTATTCAGTCGAGATGGTTGTTCTGCAAATTGAAATTCAGTACCTACAAATAGATTGCACTGACTCCGTTTTATAACCTACTTTATTCATGAATTTACAAACGCGAAGACGTTTTATTTTGAATAATTCAAATAAAAAAAGAATTAGTCTTAATTAAGCGGGGTTTGTACTATTGAAACTAGATAACTAATAGATATATGTACACATATACATGTAATACATTTAATATCAAACCAGCGATCATGGTAGCTGGATTAGTGTGTTAAATCAATACATTATCAAGTTACAATGTACAATGTGAAGTAGCCACTATGTATTTATTTGCTTATATTTAAGTCACATGAGGTATCTTTTTTCCACTAAGATTGGTAAATGACTCTCCATTTCCAATACAAGAGAAGTAAACTGTAGAAGGAGAATCGACTAAATACCCATCAACAAAGAGATTCTTTACTTTGTTGTCAAGCTGAAGAAGTTATATGAATATTCAAGCAAGATAGCAAGCAAATAAATTATCTTAATATAGCTGTAAAATTTTAAATATATATTGGCAAACGATTCTTTTAACAGATAGGATTCTGTTATCACAGCGCACGTATAAGAAAGAAAAAGAAGCCAGATATTATTGTCCCGTTCTATTATATGCAGGTGTAAGAAATATCGTTTACTTATTTATTGCTACTTTTCTATGAAGGTATTTATTTTTTTATATCGCTGAAGTGCAAAACAAGCATACGGCCCACCTGATAGCAAGCGGTTACCGTAGATTATGAATGCCTGCAATACCAGGGGTATTATACGCGCGTTGGCAACCCTGAAGAAACCTTTTTACCCCCCTTTTTAAGAATCCCACGCTGTAATCTCTTAGGGAAACCTCGGAAAATAATTATAAATAGGAATTTCTTTTAATTATTTTATTCAATTTATTCAATCCTTATACCTGATGGGTAATAATAGAAATATTATAATCATCATTAGTCAGTATACATTTGCTGAAAACCAAAAAATGCTTCCATATTTTTACTAAATCTATCTCTAGTAACTCTTTGGCAAGGTCCAAAACTAAGCTCATTATTATGCGATTTATCCCCTATCTACAAGTCATTCGGTTACTAAGAATCCCTACTAACTATGCATATATATGGAAGATGGCTTCCTCTCTTATTTTCGCAACTCAGCAAGGATCAAAGATGACATTTAGTGGCATGTAAGCCTAATAAGCCACGGCTGTTAAGTTTATAGGCTCCGCAGCTCTGACAAGTGAACTATATGAAAATTTATGTGTATAATAAATTCACGGAATAGGGGAAATCGAATACATACTTAACAGCTTGAAAACGATAAGAAAGTTTTCCATTCTTAAACAAGGTAAGTGAGTACCATATTTTTATTTTTTATTTTGTATATTATTGCCCGTTTAATGATAAATGGTTACTGTAGTGGCTACTAAGTGGGTGAGAACTGGGTGTCACGTGTGCATTGTTGACCCTAGAGAAACCTTAATATACCCTTTTTGAAGTATCTTATAATGTAGTCATCAGTAATGTAGGTCATTTAGTCATAATTATATAATTATAAATTGAATAAAAAAAAAGAAAAAGTCAATAATGTTCAATAATAAGTAAATATAATCTAAGTATATATCACAGAAATAGGGTATGATCACACAATATTTTCTTCATTCCTTTGGTATGGTAACTTTTTCATTCTAGGTTGTTTTATATAGTCAAAGTCGATTTTCCTCGTCATTACTATGTTTCTGTAGTTATCAGCAGATAACTTTTTCCTTCGAGTCCTTTCAGGGCTGTTAAAGTCCACTTCATATAACCCAAACTTTGTTCTGCAAGGAAAATAATAGATATTTGAAACTAGAGATAACTGATTAATAGTTTATACAGGTTGAATAAGAAGATAAAAAGGAAAAAAAATATTAATCTAAGATAAAAGATACAAGAAGTGTTTAGAATAATACTGTATATTGCATGTGTTTTTGTGGTTTATGTATAATATGACTGTTTTTTATTAAATAATTTTAATGAGATAAAAAGACGGCAGATTAGGATAAAAACATGTTTGATAGTTGACTGATATAAAAGCATGTAATATAAATAAAAGTATGTTATTATAAAGATTATATTAAGATAATTATGGTGATCACCGTCGTTTGTTCTTTTGGTGCAATGTTCTAGCTGATGCAATAATTCGGCAATGTAACGTCATAAATAGTTTAGATACTCGAACAAGGTTTGTAGATACTAAAGTAGATACCTACCTACTTATTTCTTAATGATTTGTTATTCTAGATCATATTTAAGGATCTTTCCATCCATTCTTGGACTAAGTTCCTGATTTTAGGGCTTGAACGTATAGGACATTTAGGTACATATGAATAAAAACAGATTTTTTAACATGCTTTTTATTTCTTGAATAGCGATTAAAAGAAAAGAGCGAAATTAAATGAAGTCATAAATCTGAACTGGACGATAGTGTTAAAAATATATCATCTCTATAAGTGACTAAAAATCTCTTATATATATAAACGATTTTTTTTTTATTTATGACTAATAAGAATAGTAATATATTGTTGACTAGAAATACATTAATAGTTAAAGCATAATGAAAGCTATAACAATATTGAGTCACATAGTACATGATATATAGAGAATAGTTAGTTTAATATAGCCATGCACAAGGTCGTAAGAGGTTCTTAGTTTACATATATAATTAGTACACAAACAGCTGATTTTATTTTTAAATCCACCATTTATTGTCATTAATTTGGGAATAAATATACATGGAATAAATATATATTCTTTCCTAATGAGAAATGTAGAACCAAATGATTTTGTAACGAACAATACTGTAAAGTAGGTATCATAAAATTTTATTGTTCTGAATTGAAGATGAGGTGCATGATCGTGAGACACGATCATTATTTACAGCAATTATTAATAATCTGTTAAACGATTGTCATGATTGTATCGATTAATAATAATCGAATGGCTTCAATTATAGATTAAGTAAGCTTTGTTTTATTAATTAGTGATTCGTGACAGGGGAACTCTGTTTATTACACGAACATAATCGATATTATTAATTTATCATTTCTCATTTATTATTCTCATTTAAAAGGTCGTGAATTTGAATCTGACACTAAAAACTTTGTGTCATTTTAAATTTCCGACTAAGTGTACGATGATGGGAAATACCGATAACAAATCTAATTAATCCAAGTGACGGCAGTAAACATGCTCCCTACCACGTTGGATTCAAATATACTATGACTCATAAAAAGCAACATTATGGGTAAGTATTTTATATAATAATCAGGAATAATTTATATATGTATACATACGTATATATTCTCTATTTATTTCAATTAAGTATGATAAAAAATTTCAAGCTATTACATTCATTTTTATATAAATAATTTGTCACACATATTGATGATAAATAAATGATTTAAATTATATGATTTTCACAAGTTGGTTTGTAAATCAAATTATACTACTATACATTTGATATTTTATTGTTTAAATTTAACGTAGTAGAAAATTATTGAACGTGAATAATTAGGTATCAATGTAATTAAATCAGTGGCTCATAATTAGTAGCGAGTATTTAATTATCGAGTTTGGTCACTTTATTGTATCCTATTAGCATTACAATTGCCTGTAGTTAGGTACCGCGTGTAGTATTAACATAATTACATATTATTATACATCAGAATTTAATTAATATTCGTATGCTATAACAAGGACGATTTTTTTAGATAATTTATCTTTAATGCGTTATTTTAAAGGATTCTTCACGTAGAACATGTCTTGTTTTTTATTATTAAGGGTTATCAATATTGTAATAAATTATATAGTTTATACCTAAGTTCAAATTAGGTTTAAGAGTAAGCTTACAAGTAATAGTATGGTGAAACGAGAAGTAAGGGGGTCGAAGGGAGGATTTCATTAAGAAAAAGATAAACGAAAAGTCAAAGACAAAATGAAGAAATAAGTGTTTGAGCACTGATTTTTTTCAAAAAAATTGTTTTAAGTTATTTTTAGACTTTTATAACTATAAAGAAAAAAAAATCCAATATCGTAGCGCTATGATGTTCCTTATAATACTAGCTAATTTATAATAGCTTTGTACTATTAGAGTCACTGTGAATTTTCTGATCTTAAGAGACTTTATTGCTTCTCTCTTACATATGAATGTCATTTGCTTTTTTTTATAATTAATAAATTGCTCTGAACTTAAAAGAAAATTAATAATTTATTAAATAAAAATTACTCACGCATATCCATCCGTCCATTCGAAGTCGTCCAACAGAGTCCAAGCAAAGTATCCCTCAACATTGACATAGTCTTTTTTCATTGCCAATAACGTTTGGTAAAGATAATCGTTGTAGTATTGTACTCTAGTGTAGTCCATGAGTCCACCAAAATCGCACATTCCATTTTCGGTAATAATAATTGGCATATCCCCATAATTATTTTTGATCCAGTTCAAAAGTTTTCTAATGCCTGGTGGGTAGATCTGATGAAAAGTTAATGTACAATTTAATTAAATACGTATATTTTAATAAAGCTCTAAATATAAATCTAGATCAGTAAATTAGCATAGATTTAGAATTTGATCAGGTATTATAATTTGTGATTTTAATTGTATCCGTGTTTTTTTTTTCCGAATATTTAAGGATATGAAGTGTCCTTGTGGCAATATACATAGATTATGTATTAAATTTAAGCCAATTCTACCTTTTTAATTATGGCATAGCCTATTATATAACATATATAGTACCTACTAAAGAATGATATTATTTAATACAAATTATATCAGGATATAATATCTATAAAAAACAGAGCAGATATTAAAATAAGTATTCAGTTTTAATTACAGTTCGTTATCATAAAGCAGCAAAACATGTTTGAATTTCATTACTAAGGTTGAAAAATAATCAATTATAAGTCAATTTTCAAATCCACGAGTATTATTCGTGATATATTATGTCTCGTCAGGATATCGTTTATATCGCCAAAAAGAGACTCCTCAATTGGTTAAAGTACCTATATTATCTGAGGTCTATGGCGTTTCTTATTTCTAAGTATTGTAGAAGAGTCTATCACGTGGATCATTGACTTGTTTACGTTTCTAGTATAAAAAGTTTACATACGTACCGAAAGCCAATCCGCACCTGGAATCGGCCACGCTGGATTTTGTTCCATTCTTACAAATGTGTCATGGTCCCACGATGGAATAGTCCACGTGTCATTGACAGTAGGTTGTGACATCAAATAGGTTGTGTAATGATTTAAACCGAAGAAGTCTGAACTTCCTTTTATTTCTTGGATCTGAAACCATATCTCTGCTTTATAATGAGTAATATTAAAGATACTGTAAAGAGAAAAAAAGACGTATTTCTCTAAAAATTAAATTCTTTAAATACTGGATATTTTTTAATATTGGAAATTCTTACTGATTTTATTAATATAAGAAGAAATAGGTTCTTTCAATAACCAGTTCTTAGAACAGTTTTTTTTTGCTGAAATGTAACTGGATTACATCATTTTGCGGAAAATTAAAAACAACCCAGTTCTAAAGCCGTCCTGTTCTACAAAAAACCGCTTAGTAACAGTGCATTTTGTTGAGGTATTTACATACATACATACATATCTGTCACGCCTGTCTCCTATTAGGGTAGGCAGAAACAATGGAACGCCAAATGCTTCGATTCAAACAAACCTCTTTCGCTTCTTCCACATTCATCAATCTTGTCATACACGCTCGTCGGTTACGGGTACTTTTAATTTGGCCCTTCTTCAGCACGTCGCCTATTTGGTCGACATACGTCCGTCTAGGGCGGCCCCTACCGACATCTCCATTCATTCTTGCTCGATAAATTTCTTTCGTAATTCTTCTTTCATCCATCCTCTCCAAATGACCAAACCAACGCAACATTCCTTTTTCGATTTTTGTCACTACATCGTCTTTCAGTCCACACTTCTCTCTAATCACACTGTTTCTTACTCTATCTTTTAAAGTAATACCACACATACTTCTCAAAGCTCTCATCTGTACAGCATTTATCTTACTTTCATGCTTCTTCTGCCATACCCACGATTCGCTTCCATACATGAGTGTTGGTGTCAGTACTCCTTGAATTATAGCAAGGCGAGCTTTGCTCGATACATTTTTACTTGACATAATCGAGAGCAGTGCACCGTTAACACTGTTTTCCGCTTTTACTCTCCTGTTGAGGTATTTATAGATTACTAACAGCATCTGTACTTTGAAATCCCATTTCACAATAGATTTTTTAGATTTTTTTTATCTTCTTTCTAAATTGTCTATTGAAGAAGCCCTAAAACCAAATAAAGATACGTGGTCACGATAATAACCTCAAATATAGTCAGTGACATGTTGATATAATTAGATCGAAAACGCTTTTGTGCGCCTGCCTATAATTACTTTAGTTAACTTTTCTCTCTCAAGTTTCAGTTACTGACTGTATTACGGTAGCAGGATGACGGGCATGCAAAGTTTTTCTTTAGCGTAATAGGGTTACTTTGACATTAACTAAATAGATACAATGAATACCTGATCCAAGCATCTTCTTTGTATCTCTAGGGTAATAATTGGGTACTGAAATCCGTAGATTAAGAAAATGTCTTTAGCTCGTAGACTTATCTTTACTCAGTGTTGAATATAGCTTAAGAAAACGGTATGTTGATTAAAGTCTGCTTGAATAGAATTATAACGCAAAAGTAAGCAGAAAAGTTGGTATTACGTTCAATTAATGTAAAAGAACTGTATTCTTTGATATCAATGGGTGCCAAAATCGCCACAAAATATGTGATGATAATGATTTTGAAATTGTATTCAAATGATCCAGATATTAATATCAAAATTATAGTGATATGAATGAATGAATTAGTTGCACCAACAGGAGGGAATTCTTAAATGAAAAGAGTGAGAGTGATATGAATAGGCAATCGAAACTCAGACAGAATGGTTTAAACTAGCCTTTCCCAAGGTGGGTGGATAACGTCCCCTTGTGGGCACTGCAAGCCTAAAGGGGGTCGGTAAGAGAACCAGAAAAAAATTATGGCGTTGTGTAGAGGCTCGGGGGGGGGGGGTGATTTGTTGATCTTGAAGTTATAGTGGTTTTTAAGTAGGTAAAAAAATGGGGGCGCTAAAAAATAATTTATTCTCAAAGTGGTAGACAAAATAAGTTTAGGAACCCTACCTAACCCTGGTCTTAACTATATACGTCAGCGAAGAAACCACTAACAACAACAACATAGTGCATATAAATATTTTGAGTAGTAACATACATACATCAGTACCTTAAGCCATAAAAAATAATTAATTTTTTTTTTATTCTTGGATTATTTCCCACTTTTAAGCAATTTTAAGGTTTTTATGTGATAACTTCGCTTCATAATCGATTTTGATACTTTAATGATTTATTTGCTTATTGGTTATAAAACTATATCTGTTAATTTTGTTGTTAAAAGTAATTAATTATAATTCATATTTTAATTTCGTTAGTTTAACATAATAACAGTCACTATACTATATTATTTAACATTATCTTTTTTAACTTTGTAGATACTGATTCTATTTTAACTCTTTTTAAAAATAGTAACTAATACTGTTACTTATTTTTTGCGTAGACATTGGATGACGCAATATCCTGAATTATTTGCGCCAAACTTCGACTTGAATGAAACAGATTATATAGAATTATTTATAAAACATAAAATAAATATAGATCACTCAATTGTAATACCTAATATGATAATCAGGGGGAGAAGGGATTATTAAGAACGAGGTTTAGTAGCCCCCTTGCAACACTACACCCTGTCAGATCGACCTTCTCGCGGTTCCTCCTGAAAACTATCGTGTTCTATTTCAAGAGAATTCATCACGATAAGCTGACTTGTCTTTTCGTTCTCACCTATCATCCTTCACTGGTGCTCTGTCAGCATATACCGCTAGCGCAGGCGATGTTACTATTCCATTATCATACATTACAGAGAAATAGGGTAGTCAGTGTCATTTGATGATTGTTGCAGTTGATGTTGATATTCAGCGGAGCATAATATTAGAATCCAACATGGTAGGGGTTGAGTTCACTGCCGTCACTCAGAACAGCTTGGATTGTTATTGACGTTTTCTAATACCGAAGATTTAGTTGGAAATTTAAAGTGATGCGCAAAGTTTTAGCGTCTGTCAGATTCAAACTAGGTAGAGATGTTTGGGGCTTTTCTTACTTTAATATTTATATTTTAAAATGCAAAAAACAATAAACATTAAAATAACTTACTTCGTCTTGTGAGAACACTGGTAGCCGAGATCTAGTGAAATTTTGTTGTCTACTATTGCCGTCGATTATGTTACGAACTAATGGAGGATAGTCACCAACTTTTGAAAAAATTGGATGTGCATATATACCCACCTGAAAATAATATTTATAATTGAATTTGATTTTAATTATAATAACAGAGAAACTAAAGTGTATTTAATTTTGAACTAAATGCACTTTATTTTTATATTCATTTTAACAATCCAGAACGATTGAATTCAAATATGTTAAGAAATTCATTAAATTATGTAAAAATTTTATTACAAAATATCTTAATATGTAGATTCCTTTTTACAGTAAAAATTACTTGACTCTTGTCACACCTTACCCTAAGAAAACTACTGATTTTGTAATTTACATTCGAAACGGTTTCTAGTTACTTGTGTATGCAACTCTGAATCTTGGGGCTTTTATATATCAACGGTTTATAAAGGTCTTTTATATCTGAACTGAGGAAAGTTATTTTTCAATATTTTGATTGATTGATTTTATAATGCTTTCTAGATATTTAACTGTCAGATCTATGCAAAACATATTATGTAGTTCGCTGCAACACAGAGTAGTTTGATTTTGTGAAGTGGTGTAATCATTATAGATACTTACGCGCATCTGGCGGTACCGTTCAGCGGCTTCTATGTCTATAGGGTCGATACTGTTTTTTGGTTCCGCCCAAAAAGCATCTAGAGTTATGCCAACTCTACCTATTAGACAAAATAAGAAATTGTACAGATATCATATTTAAATAATGTCATGCTGTAAGCATATAGATATAATTTTGATTTTTTTTTGTTTAATAATCTATGGTTATACCCACAGTAATTATGATAAAATATTCTGCTTTATTTTAATATAAGTCCTGTTGTGTACTCACAAATTTAATTCAAATCTGTCTAGCTATTTCATTGTGATGGATTTGGATTGTTATTTTGATTGAATAGTAAACATCTAAATATTAAATACCTTTATAAACATTCATATTTATAACATTAGTAAGAAATAGTTGAAATTTTAAGAACAAATAATTGTGAGTACAAATAAAAATATTTTACCATTTTGATAAGGTTTGAATTCTTTCTCATACAGGCGGTATGCTTTTGCATGAGCTAATATCATGTAGTGTGAACATAAATAGTCTCCAATACCACCTGACTCTAATGCTGGGACGAAATAATTGGTCCCGTAACCCTGTTGAATTAATTATAATAATTAAAATATAAATTTATAAAAAATAATTATAATTTAGATACGAATAATAGCGATAAAATACTTTAAGGTTGGTTAAAATTGGATACAAAGTACTAGACGGTGCTAGAATCGGGACTTGTAGTTTTTGTTGATTATTTTATAATTTAAAACAATTTAAGGCAATCTTTTTAAATTGGCGTGTAGTTGCGTTATTTTTTTACCCACAAATAGTAAAGACAAAAATTATCATAATTTTTGTCTTTATTCTTTAACTTCTTAAAAAAAACATATACTAGCAAGAAACATTGAGATTATGTGGGTTATAATTTATTTAGGAAAAGATCGCGTATTATCTGTTATATCAATATGAATAATAATAAAAATCACTCGCCAATTAAGAAATTTTATTTCAAATTATCTTTAATTACAAAATAATCGATAAAAACCACAAGTCTCGGTACGCCATCTAGTTTTTCTTGTTTAATTTTGTTTAATGACCAATCACCTTAATATACAAAAAGGTATCGCATGTTGAATTATAACTTATTAAAATTTGTGATTTGAACTTTAGTCAGAGTTGGTTCCGGAATATCTGTATTGATATACATCTTAGAGAATTTACAGTAAGAAACATCGTTGGTAGATTATATTTTATAATTTACACTGATTTAGCTTAGCATAAAATTCCAGAGAGGAATTGATATTTTGGTCATGCATAGAATTAATGATTGTTCATTATTAATTGAATGCTATTATTATGGCATAACAGAAAAGATATATTTTTGTTAGGTTTATAATTTTAATGTTTATTTAGTATGTAAAATAATATTATAATATTAAAATTAATCTTTTCTGTAAAAAATATTGAAAATCTATCATCTGCATAAAATAAATATAAAAGAAAAATATGTTACGTCGACCTCAAATAGATATAAGAAAGTGGTTGAAATACTGTGAATGGTAATTTCTTAAATGTATAGGTTTGTTCTGATCGACTGATTAATCTATGAATGTATACCAGAACCGTTTTGGTTAGAAAATGGAAATTTTGAATACAGTTTTTTTATGATATAGCCATTCTACTAGGTATTTCATAATTAGAACATATTTCAAAATATATATTACTATATAATATTTTTTTTATCTGATTATTCCTAAATTTGATAAGAAAGAAACTATAGAAACTCCAAGAAGAACAAGACACCTCAGATTCATGGTAAACAGTTAATAATATATGTATACTTATATTTGTACATTGCAACAGCGGATTGAAATTAGATTTTTAAATAAGTCGATAATCAGGTAAAAAAGATAGCGTCAACTAGTCTCCGGAGTATTGGATTTCTTGTATTACCAGTTCACAAGGCTAAAACGTGCACCATAAAATTTGCATTGTATCACAAACAAATGTGCTACATGATAACATCACTATTATTGCTAATGGCAACATTTTCTATATTTTTATTTTTTACTTTTTTAGAATGTAATATATTTTTTGATATAACTCAATTTATTGTGTAACTGAAAAACGTGTCTACTTTTTACCAATTACGCAGTCAGTCTTACTCGTTTATATATATTTTATACTTTATGTTAAGATTAATTTATATATATGTATACCTTAGATATTAACATACAATATTCATAATTATAAGTTCACATTATAAGGATAAAAAATATTTTTTGACTGACTATATCTATATACGAGTATAGTTAGTTTTTTGCCCACTATTTAGTACGCGTGGATTTTAGAAATAGGAAAACCAAGGAAATAAGTCATTAATACACTTGATGTATTAAGATCAAACGTACACCAGTTTTTAAGGTATACATTCAGAAATACAACTTTAAAAAAGGAATTCAATTTAGTGCAATAGTTTTTGCGTGATATCAGTACAAATATACGTTATTTCAAAATAATATTGTTTTGGTGTAGCAATAATAAACAACCATGCCAAGTTAGAAGGCCGCAGAATTCTTTTTCTGTATTGTTCTAATACTTTAAACTTTATTTTACTTTCTGTTCTTTTGTTTACGGACATTATGTTTGTCATCTATTTTAGCATGATTAATAATTTAATATATATTTTACTTTTGGTGTCTTATTCATAAATGCTCTAAGATATGGGTCTTCAGCTAGCTAAACTAGTTTTAGGGCAATGAAAAACTACAGCCCGCTAACTCATTTAGAATATTTTTTTCTAAAAAGCCAAGATACAACAACTGATGCAGAATTTATCAGTTTTTTTTAATACGTACATTATAACAATGTTGCTGTGGTTCATTCATAGTAGTCCAGATTTTGACTTCATCACCAAATTCCGTAAATACAAATCTTGCGTAGTCCAAGAAGTAATCAACCATTTTTGGATTGCTCCATCCTCCAAGATCCATTAATGGAGTAGGCATATCCCAATGAAATAAAGTGACCATTGCGGTTAGATTAGCTTTTCTGAGTTCTTTTAATAGTCTATGGTAGTAGTCTATGCCATCTTTATTTTTTTTATTGTCAGTCCCTTTAGGTAGTAAACTGTGTAAAAAGAGAATAAAACAAAAATATTTAATTACTAATCTAATGTCACAAATAAGATGAAAAGCTTATCTATATGTATTTAGATTATATCAGATAAGAATTCATAATGTAAGAGGTACATTATTAAATTCGTTCTGAATTGTACATTTTATCCTTGACAATCTTCCAATATAGATAAGATAGATTCATATGGGCTTTTAAATTTAAAACTAGACTTTAATATATTTATGTATTTAAGTATTTTATACTATGTATTAGAAACGGTAGCAAAATTGACAGTGAACTTGATGAAAAACAATTTTTTTTTGTAATTTTCGCTCTATTTTTTTATGTCCGAAAAGTATTTTGATTTTACATGGGATCTCTAATCATCTGTTCTTGTTTATAGGAATACAGACATATTTTTTTGTTCTTTGTGCCAGAGATTGATCACCATCAGGTGACTCCAAATCTCGTTTGCTCCCGTTCGTATGTTAAGAAAAAAATATGTCGCTTATTTTTTTTTGACCGAAATGAATTTGCACAGTACATTTATAAAGAAATAAAATATTAATAAAACTCATACTATTTTAGTTAACAACAAATAATATTTAAAAACGATTCTTAGCATTCCACTATTAAATATTATTGACCTTAGCACGGTAACATTGAATACTTTATTATAGGCAGTAACATTATGCATTAGAACAATAATAGTACTGAGTATTTAAGAGTAAGATTTCAGCTTAGCGACAAGAAAAAATGTTTATTTGCTGCTAAGTAAATTTTTTTAAAAAGTAATTAATAAAAATAATTTTAGATATATTTACCAATTTAGTCTCTTTTTTCAAATTAGATTTTAAACAATATGAGTTTTTGCTGCCAATTTTATAGCTAATTGGTCAATATATATTTTGGAGTAATATTTCAAGATATTTGCTATTCAGTATTATTTATTTAGTTCACATACCTTTTTCATACATATGGTATACGTAATTAACATAAATGTAACAAAATTGAAATAACTTACCGTGGCCATGAAAATGAGAATCTATAGTATTGTACTCCAAGATCTTTAACTAATTTAACATCTTCAGCATATTTGTGGTATGAATCAGCTGCGATGTCACCATTAGAATGATCTAGAGTATATTCTGGGTGTTGATGGAGATAAGTGTCCCACATACTTTCTCCTTTACCTGTAAACAATATAAGAATTATTCTCATATTTACATATATGTTCATAATAAAATATCTTACTGAATACCAAAACGGTCAATAACCTTTTTTTGAACATGCACGAACCAGAAATATGAGTATTGAAAAAATCGGAATGAAGAAAAATAAACAAAGCAGAATTGCATGGTATTTATGTATCGAAATTGCAAAAGAAATTTGTTTTTTCTATGGTATGGTATTCATATACTATTTCTTGTATGGATTTTATAATTAGTTATTGATTAATGAATAAAGTGATTTTTATAATTAAAAGAGTTAATGTTTTATTTTAAAATGTAGTTGCCCCTAATTTCAATTAATTGTAATAAATTATAACAGCGGTAATATATTCGCGAATTTGTCATCTTTCGTTCCTGCGGGAATTTTGAAAAAGTCCTTAAATATTTAAATGGAAGAAAAAGAATTTTCATAAAAACTCAACGAGGTGTAACAAAACCAGTTTTTGTACAGATTTTATTTTATGTGTGGAACCCTCAGAGTGTGAGTTCAACTCGCACTTGACAGATTTTTTTTATACCATGAAGGTGATAAACAAAGACACAGGTCGTCTGATGGTAAACGGTTACTGTAGCCTATGGCCGCCTGCAACATTAGGAGTGTAACATGCGCGTTGTCGACCCTTAACATATCCTTTTTGAAGAACCCTATACTGTAGCCTCTAGAAGAAACCTAGGCAGGAAGCTCTTTCCACAGCCTGAGCGTTTGCGGGAGAACAATTCTTTGAAATTTTGCATTATTCGTGACCATTTAGGTTCAAGCGTATGAGGATAAAATCCTTTTGAAAACGAGCGGTGCGATGATAAAAAGTGGGCATCATTTCAAACAATTCCTCAGAACACAATCTGTTACACAAGTAGTAGAACACACAAAGGAAGGAAAAGTCTCGTCTTAGACTTAAGGGTTTGACACCACCTGTGAGCTTGGGATCATCGACTATTACATACGAGTATTATAATCATGTATAGTTTATATGTTTTATGGTTTATTCAGATGAAAATTAAAATATTACTATAATCTGTAAATAGATAGTAGGACACTTAACATTGTTTATCTTTAACAAATATAGAGCACAGATAACACATAAGAACGATAAGATTTATTTAAATTACCTTTTTTTAATTATGCCAATGTGGAAGTACACTTGTAATTGTGGTATGTAAAATAATAATATACAAAAACTTGTTAAATAAAAAACTAAACTTGTTAAGTGGGTTTTTATGTATGTACCTATATAAGTATTTAAAAATAAAATTTCTGAGGCCTACAACAGTTATCATGGGTTGTCTTATGTACATTAATAACATCGGATAAATTTGTAAATTTAATATTTATTTTATAATGTAATTTTACATAAGTTAGACTACCTACAAGTAAAATGTATTATTCTCTTCATAAATAATGGTATTATAGATGGTTGTATATATAAGGTAAAGAAATAACATCGTATTAAAATTAATTATAAAAAATATTACTGAGTATAATTTACCTCCTTCATTCCATGCTCCCTCTATTTGAAATGCGGCCGTCGAAACACCAAATTTAAAGTTTTCTGGAAACTCGTAGTCTTCCTTATTACCGAAGCCTTCAATGGCTATAGCTCTATGTGCCAAGCACAATAAGCTAGAATGATAACATAATCATTTTACATTTATCATCGTTAAACACATAGCAATTATCTATTAGTTGCACATAATTGCTATAGAAAACATTATTTATTAATTTAAATTGCAAACCAACAATATACTATATAAGTAATAATGCACTCAAGAACAATTATAATAGATAAATGCACCGATTTACAGATATGCATAATTTAATGTAAATCTATTTAGACAAATTTTTAGGCAAAATACAAACTCGTATCTGTTTTGTCTTTTTCTTGACTCAATTAGAGAATAAAGAAGATATTTTAGTCAAATGAGAGACTTTAAAATATGATTTTATTATTTTACAATATAAAAATTATAATATATCATAATATTTTGTATTAAAAATTATGCTCAACTAATAATTATTAATAATTAGATAGTTAATAACCTATTCATCAAGCATAATTTTTAATAGAAAATATTATGAACATTAAAAAGTCATTTACTGATTTTAATAATGTCCTTAGTATAACAAAAAGTTAAAAGACCTTTTAAGGCCGGCAATATATTTGCAATTTCTCTGATGTAGCGAGTTCCTGTGGACAGCAGTGATCACTTACAATCAGGTGAGTCACTTGCTAGTTTATCTCCTATAATATAAAATAAATACAAGTATCAAAAGACCCGTGTAGAAATGTTATTACTCGAATAAAAATATACCCTAATATGATTTTCATATTGTTTACAGTGTTTTGCTTAATCGTTTTATTTTATCTGGATTTCATAACTTTGATTTTATATTTCCCTAGTAATAAATAATATAACCTACGATAAAAGTCAAGGGCTAACTAAAATGTTAACTAGAGCGAGGGTTTCCTTCTCCGTTTTCCTTAATAGCGATAGTATTTTTCTGTGATAATTATTCAAAGATATTCAAAACTGTGGGAGTTGATGATTACTCAAATAATCATTTTAAAATAGATATTTGTTGGTCAGGCTGTGATACTTATAGAAGGTTGGAACAGAACAGACATTCGTAGGTGACATTAAAACCTTTGTACAGATAGATGGCTCCAACAGATGCCTTTATACGTACTACCATATTGCGGAGAACCAGGTCAGGCAGAAGATTGTACAATAGTTTTCTACCGCGACAAAGTATCTTTTTGCTTACAGAGCTTAGGACGAGAAATAATAGCGATAATAATATGATTATCAGCTGTGATTTTTGGCGCTCATACTCTATTAACATCCATATTTTGATGTTGATTAATGAGATTGAACAATGTCGAGCATTTTTTAATGGACGATCAGGATATTGAGTATTTCAGTATTCCAATGCATATTTAGTTTTCGTTTCCGACTATTGCAGTTAGTGTCACCTGACAGGTGCTAAAATTAGTAATATAATATATCTTTTTGTTAAACAATGACAATTGGTCGAGCTATTAAAGCGTTAAGAGTTAACAAACGCCCAATTATAAAATATTAGCATAAACATCTTAGTGGTGTCATTTCTATTTAATTTTGGCAAACATTTACTTAATTATATAAAAAAAGTTCTATCGTAGTGTACGAAATCTTTTCCCATACACATTTTCTATCACACTATATCAACGGGCATTATATCACGGGCATATTAACCTATGTCTAAGTTTTATAATCAATCATTCAATACGTGTACTATCATAGACTTAATGTCTGCATGGCCTACAAAGTATTTATATATAATAATAAGATTTATTTACTCCAAGATTCGTATCTTTAACTGAGTCTGATATTTCTCAGGAAATGCTATTGGATTTCACAGAAAATCTTGAAACCGGTCTAGACAGGTGTAGGCGGATAATAATGTAGTACTTTATAGAATTTATTTTTATCTTTTGAAATAGAAATCTTTTAAAGTAGTATCTATAGGTTACAAAAGGAAAATTATTTAAATAACTTTATATATGTAATAAAAGCAATTGCTGCCCAGCCATAAACATTCTTAAGAAATGACTATTCAAAAATGATTATTATTGAATGTATTATAAATAAAAGTTTTTTTTTGAAAAAAATTCAAATTTCCTCTCTTAAGGCGAGGAGGTAGTAAATTATCACAGTCAAACGGGGTTCAGGGCCTCATGGAGAGAAACCGGCGTATTATACGGGCAGTTCCTAAGAGCACCGCTTTTTGCACTCTGTTATGTCCATGGTACTGCTCATGTCTATAGGCGACGATTACCACTTTCCACCAGGTGGGCCGTCAGCTATTTTGCCATTCTAAGTTGTATAAAAAAAACACTTCTAGTGATGTGAACTGCCTCGGAATCCCAACCGTCTGAGATGTTGTTCTAGACTGGTTGGGAAAATATCATTGACCGATATAACGATTGGGATGATTTCGTTTATTTATTATTTCGATATGTATATTGTTATTATTATTATTAAGTTACTGTAATTACTAACATAAACTCTAGATCATGGTATCTAAACATTTTGTGTAGGTATATTTACTTTGCGTACACAGCTATACTGATTTTTTTTATTGTACTGAACTGTAGGTAGTATAGGTATACGGAATATTAATAACAAGCTTATTCGTTTAGGTGTTTTTTTAGTGTAACAAATTTATAAAGTTTTAAATCCGTTGTTGTTTGCGAGTAAAACGCATCCAAATTTTTTATTATAGAAATATTAATGAAATATATTTATATAAATAAATGTAACATATTTTAAAGAAAAAATTTCAAAGCCAGCGGGATCTAAGCGCGCACATACATATACATGTATACATATATACATGTATATCATGCCTGCCTCTCATAATATATGCGAAAATAATGGAAACCATAATACTTCGACTTAAACATAACTATTTCGCTACATATTCATCAGTTTATTCAAAATTATCTATTATAATAATAATAATAAATTATTAAAATTTTCACTAGCCGATGGTTGTACTAATAGATTTCAAAACAATAATTTTTAAAAATTTTATCTGTATGTCTCTTTACCTATTTCTATCTTTGTTCCAGCATCACACAGAAACTATTGCACCAAATTGGATGCTGTTATCACACTTGTGTTCTCGAAGGTCTAACTCAAAATCTGGTATGATACACCATTTAGAAGTAGTTTATTTTAGTGGTTTTCCTACTTCTGAAATCCATGCGTACGAAGTAGCGGGCAAAAAGCTAATAATAAATACAATTTTAATAGTTTTAATCTTATTCGAAACATCTGCAGTGCATTTTTTATGACAGTGAGACTGTCATAAAAAATGCACTGCCATTTTATAACATATTAGGAAAACAAGCCGACGGCTTGTTTTAAATCTTATTTTCACTTAATGAAAAATGATAACCATCATATATAGATATGACAAAAATTATGAATTACAAAATGTTACCTTTTCATGTGTTACCTTTCTTGTAGACTAAGATACTTCGTACCCTGTAATTTCACTGTCATAATTCCTATTATATTATATTATGTTGCGTATATAATATTGCGTGTTAAGAAAAAACAGTCATTGAGAGTATTTCCCGTGTGATCTTCATGTAAGATAGCAAGGGTTTGTTTGGTTCATAACTATAAAATATAAACTCTACTGTTCCGTAAGAAAAATAATGAAAAAAAAAACAAAACTTTTGTTTTTTTCATTGTGCAGGATACTGGTAGTCTACCATGAAATAAAAATCCGAATTTTCGGGCTCAATTTCGTGTTTTTGTTCGTACCTAAATCGACCCAGTAAATGGAGCTTAACGTTACGTTCATCATAAATCCTATCCTAATAGTCCAGAGGAATATATATATATATATATATATATATATATATATATATATATATATATATATATATATATATATCGTTCGTGCCCGAAATTTCGGAAAATATTTTAATGGTAGGCCCTCTGGTAATCAAAACCTTGAAGTCTTTTTTAACTAATAATAGAAAAGATTATATATATATATATATATATATATATATATATATATATATATATATATATATATATATATATATATATATAATATAAATTTGAGGCAAAACCAGTTGATTTCAAAACTAAACAACTGTAACGATTTTGACACAATGTTATTGAGAAATCTAGATATTCTATTTAGTTGGTTGTTTAGTATTTAAATGGTTTGTAACTTACAAAATGGTATTTAAAGTCGTTTTATTGTTGTTTAATTATTTCATTCAATTTAGTTGTTGAATACAGCAATATAGCTGCATAAAGTGTGAAGGCACTTGCCTAGAAGATAAATTAAATAGATCAGTATAGGGACTGGTAATAAAACAATCAAATGGATAATAAATCAAATATAAGATATAAAAATACGCCGTGTTGAACAATAATTGGATTATAAAGTTTAGTATAGTAAATATATTATACATGGTTACAGAAATTATATATAAATATAATTTCTGTAAGCATGTATTTGACAATACGATTCTTGTTTCCTACAGGACGGACTCAGCCTAGTGTAGGGATCAATATTAAACTTTGTGCTTATACAAATGTACTTTTATAATATAAAAATAAATATGAATACGTTTACCTACAACAAAGAACCTATGTTTATACTTATTGATATTATTGTGTTATATTTGTTGTTATTAGTGCCTTAATAGCTCAACTAATGATATTTAAAATTCATGAAATTTAACATTGTATTATTTGAGATGAAGAACAATATAGGCTACTTTTTTATTTCGGACAATTAATAATATCCCAATCATACCAATGAAGTCGAAGGTAAAAAGTAGTAAATAATGAAATAAAAAATGAAACAGAAAAAAATTAATCATGTCAAATTTTATTTTTTTATTGCTTTTATTATTGATTTTTTGAGTAATTTATGGGTATTTTTATTTTTATAAAAGGTAGAAAAAGTAATCTGTCTAATACCTACGTATAGTCAAATTTATACTTAGTGAATTACATAATGTAAAAATAAATATTTTCACGGCTATGACTAATATGAAGTGAGGAGAAGCACAATATGTGAATTGTTGTCTTTATGCCACATAAATATACTATAAGCGCACAATCACCTAAAATGTAAATTAAACAGAAAAAAATAGCTAATATACTGGTAGTATTATTCAAATAAAACTATATAGGACCATATAGCCAAAAAGTAGCAATTATATATAGTACACAATATAATAAAAAAGTCAAACTAAATACGAAACAAAAGCACAATAACTCGAGAGATAATTAAATCATATTACATTCACATGAACATATTTATTTGAAAAAAAAAAAATGCGTGTTCCAGTAAATATAATATAGTGTAATAAATTAGCATAAAAAAATAGTTACTATTTTTGCAATTATATTTTAAAATTACAAAACACTAAACGTAGTGAACAAATAATAACGCTAGTAAAACATTTTGTGATTTCCAATATCGTTTTCACTTATCGTAACAGTATTGTTGTGTCGATAAATTCTCACCTAAAGCTCACAAGAACTGCTCCGATCTTGGCGACTTTACTCGAGCTCCGCATTTTATGAACTAACTTGACTCAGGTGCATTTGTTACCGATTAATCGTTCGTTAAGGTTAATTAGTGTTTTTAAATTACGGTATAACCTTCTTGGGTTTCCCTATCTAGGAATATGGTTTGCTCGCACTTTGCTTATAGATAATTTTGATTAATGACGTCACATTTCCGAGAGCTGAGACAACTAGAGACATTTCGTAGTTATTTCCGCCTACTTTGTTATGGAATTTACAATCAAAACCTGTTGAATTTACCGGTTTCTATAGTCGGCTTGTTAAAATTAATACATTTTGTTGTTCATTAAGTCTTTATCTGCATTTAATTTGCATAGGAAGTGTGAAAGTAAATTTCTTAAATAGGAACAATTTCTTAGTTAGGTATGCTAAATAGAAGATAACAATGGGATATTGATAGTTGTGAATTTTTTACTGCTGAACATAACCTTCCCCTTTGGAGGGGATTTTACCACGCTTGGCAGGTGGAATAGCAACAGCAGTTATGCTTATAAGAGGGACGCTTCTGACTATTCATTAAGTTCTCTTAGTCGCCTCTTATGACACCCACGTGAAAGGAAAGGGTTACTCATTTTATGAGAGTGCCACACGACCATGAGACATTATTTTCCCTTAAACAACAAAAAATCTACTTGATAGTATTTTTCAAGACATGAGAATGGAATAGAGATAACCTCGTCTGTGCCACTGGGTGTTAGTAGGATAGGATGAAGGCCAGTTAGCTCATCGTGACCATTACAGAAATGACCATTATGGTTTCCAGGCGGAACCGCATTAAACTTGAGCTAAAAAGGTTTATTGCTAGCAATGTGACTATTAGATTCTGTTACTGATAATTCCCTCACTCAACTTACAGTAATGGCATATGTTGTTTCAGTGAGGTTATGATAGATAATTGGAAAAGAAGTCACGTTAGTTGGTTTAACGGAGTTTTTCATTCACATAGATCATTCTCTATTTGTAATGAGTTTTTTGAAGCAGGGCATCAATAAATTGAACAAATATAAAAATTCTTTAAAAACTTCCTTGGATATGATTCAATATGATGAATGACGACACAACTATAGCCATTTGAACGGTGCTTTTGATCAACCATTCACAAATGAAAAATATTTATTGTAAATACATTTTCTTTCATATTTATTTTGTGTATTGTTAACATTTTAAATAATATTAATATAATTATGTAGGGAGTTTAAATTCAAATAGAGTTGATGAATTTCAATAACTTCATATCAGATATAAAATTTACGAAATTTGAAATTTGTCTACGTCAAAAGTAATAAATAAAAATAACAATAAAATGTATTTAATAAATGTTAACGTACTACATAAATACACAAATATAAATGAGATGATAATACAAATGTAAAAGTGAGTTTGCATGTTTGGTTACTACCTCAAGGCTGCTCTTGACTTTTGTTCAACTAATTGTAGTAATAATACAAAGAAAGAACTAAGTATAACTAGTATTATATTTAATTAATGTTTAATGACAAAAAAGTCATTTAAATGGAAAAAAATCTTCTAATTTTCTCTTGAGTGATGACAAGAATTTAATGGATTAATTCTTGCTACATTAAATTAATTAAACCTAAGGGTCTGAAAAGAGATTTAATATATCTATTCGTATATTGAAGTTTGAAAATGAAAATTATTAGTATCGAAAAGTCTAGAAAAGGTAGACACAAGAAATGAGATTACAATATGTTTTCGTTTCTCGTGATTATTTATTATAGATTGGATTAAAGATACGAGTAAGATTAGGTATATCGAAATATGTTTTAAATGCGCATTTCTAAATTTGAGAGGCCGAAATTATTGTCAAATTATAATAAAAATTTTACTTTGTGACAACTCGATCTAATGGGATTCGAAGGTACATCTAGCAGGTGTGGAGACAACTAAAAAAAGTAGTTGAAATATTTATTGATTGATGAGCTTCTTTCTGCTGTGTAACTAAGTTCATACTTATTCCGGATACTACAGAGATGTGTATTTAAATCCTGTCAGATCATATTCTTACAAGGTACATTTTCTAACTCTTAATAGTTTAAGTATATGGACTTAAGCATTTCCAACAACAATACTCATATATCGTCATAGTCGTAGAATACTGACGGATCTATATACGTAACATTCGTCAGATCCGTCAGTATTCTATGACTATGACGATATGTCAGCTAGTCTAGTTATTTTTTACAATCAAAATGTAATATGTACTACTACAAAATATTAAACAATAAAATACACTATTTATTTATAACACAAGTGTTAACGATGTATTATAATTATTCATTATCATTGAAAATATTTACTTTCCGACAGAACTAATATCATTTATTATTCTACTAAAGAAAATTGTAGTTATATAAAATATATAGCATTACAAAATAAAGAGGCACGAATGGGCGGTCTTATCGCTAAATTGAGACCTGTTCTAGGCAATATTAAATTTATAAAAAAAAAAAAACATGGAGGTGATTAAACTTGCATTTGTTGGAGACATAATAATATACATAATTTAAATTCTTTCATTAACATATAATTATATTCATTTTTCTTATTTTAATTAATTATTATATCCATTTATTTGCATACCTACTTGTGCAATAATTAAATCCGTTATACTTAGTATGTTTTAAAAAGATTCCTTTCAGTAATACCGCAGACCGTCTTATATTCATATAAATATATATTCTATCTATATAAAGTAAAATAAACTCATTGATAATTATCATTAATTTAACTTATAATAATTTATATATGCATATTCATACTAACCTATCGGTTTTGAATTCTCATTGTTTATGTTGTAATTATTCTTGATTTGAGATTAATCTCTCACACAGATTTTTTAAGATATAATACTCTATAAAATAATCTAAATAGATATTGTTTTAAAATAAGTATATTTATAATTTACTAATTTTTTGCTCACTAATTCGTATGCGCGGATTTCAAAAATAGGCGATATAATGATATATAATAAAAAAAATAAGATTGCTTCTAGCTGGGATAACAACATGAAAAATATAAGCAATTTTTAAATTAGACATTCATAAATACAACTGTAAAGATACAATTTGATGCAGTTGTTTTTGTGCCAGAATAAAGATACGGATAGATAGACAAAATAAAAAAAAATAAATAAAAAAATCATTGATATCTATTGATCTTAATAGGATTTCGCTTATTAATTTTCCTTAAATATCTCTCATGTGCAGACATCGTCTAGTTACATTTTTATTGTATAGTAGTAAAATAAGATCTTATAAAATATAACTAATTTGTAAAACAAGTGTATTTTATTTCGAATAGTATGCGGATCAAGTCACGGGCATTACTGACATATTATAAAACAAACATAGATAATTATAATTGTTACTTTATATAACTGTAATAGTTATTATATAACATAGCTTAACTGATTATAATATCAAAAATACTTACCAGCAACAAAAGATAAAGCAAATATAATAGATAAACCTAATCCTTAGAACCAGATCATTATTGAAATATGCACACATATCGTATGCTATACTGAAATACATTCGTCTTAAGTCAGTTTAATGTATTAATGATCAACGTGGTTTAGATAAAATGTTTTTTCTATGAGACGAGAAAAATAAGCGTTATAAATAACCCATAGACATCCAGTAGGTGTGTCTGACACTCCCTCACGTGGCATGCAAATAAATCAGAGAAGGCGTTGATGTAATGATTTATATTCAACTCCACCGCTTTGCGGAAATCGGATCTTATTCTTCATTACTTTAGTGAGTATTTTTATTTAAAAACTCAAATAGATACTCATTTTACGAACTACCGTGTGTTACTATACTTTACTTTACTTTTACTTTATATATTACTATAGTGTTTTATCTGCGTGGAATGGAACCCCTTATCTTTTGTTCCTGTAGCAGATTTCAGAAAACTTTTCTTAGTGTGATAATCCTATGTATATGCGAATGTTAGATTATCTGTTTGTTTGTCTTTTATTTCTAGCTACTTTAAAGGCTCAATCAATGATATCGTCAGGCACATACGTATACGTATTATGTAAAAGGATATAGGATGTTTTTTATCCTGGTCAAGTAATATGACTTGGTTATGTGGACGAAGTTACGAGTCACCAGTAGATAATTTGATATTTAACAAGTCAGTGAGTATTTTTTCGCTTATTAGTACTGGAGAATAGAAGTTGGTAGTTTTGAAATCGTTAAAATAAAGAAAATTTTATATATATTTCATATATATGTATGTGTGTGTGTGTGTGTGGGTGTGTAAATATATAATATATGTATATTCATCAATATATATCGATATTATTAGAATTACTGAAACAGTTGTGCACTCACAAGTAATGGTATTGGAGTCAGATATTTTTCACAGGCGCTTACGTACATTTGTTATCAGTTAAGAGTTATTGAAAGTTTCTTCTAAATTGAAAAAGAAAAGGGCAGCAAAATCGTAAAAAAATACTATCAAAAATTATTTTAATTAACTTGAGTAAAAACTATTCATAATTTTTTTTTATCTACTATTGTTTAGTATTGTAATCTAAAAACAAAGCCTCAGACACTTTATGTACTTTTAAAAAATCATTTAAAAACTTCATTAATGTATTATTATAGTGTGAATTAAAGTATGTATATAAATTAATAAATAGACTTGAGATCTGAGGAATAGCTCGTAAAGTAAATTATATCAAGTGCTTAATTATTTATTTGTAATTGAGTAACAAACATAATTAGCTATTTTTTTGTCTCTATCAATTTACCAATTCTATCAGACATTTTTACGTTGACTGGTAGAAATCCGTTTTGTGAGATAAATCCGCCATTGTACTTATTATGTTATTGAGAATACATAGGTATTCTATAATTTAAGACTGTACAATAAAGTGTTATAAACAAACAAACATTCAAATAAATACCCAAACATTACAAACTTTCACATTTATAATATAAGAAGGATTAGCAAATTATCAATAGCGATCGATAAATCTATAAGTAAGTTTATCATACAAATTTATGAATTCTTATTACAAAAGCTTCGAACTAAATGATTACAGTATTTTTAAAAGAATTC